TACCGATACCTGATTTTAATGATATCTGACTTACCTGACTTTACTGACACCTGACTTTAACGTTACCTGACTTACCTGACTTTACTGACACCTGACTTTAACGATACCTGACTTACCTGACTTTACTGACACCTGACTTTAACGTTACCTGACTTCACTGACACCTGACTTTAACGTTACCTGACTTTACTGATACCTGGTGTACTGACATTTTTCTTAACTGACACTGAATGTCATTACTTACACATGACTTTTCTTATACCTTTCTGTAGTGAATTGTTACTTGAAGGACACATTTATAAGTTGAAATTCCCTCACTCTGTCCTTAAACTCTGACTGGAAGTTTCCTGTATCTGATCTAAACAAACAATTGAGTCCATCTGATAAAGGCAGGGGGCTTTCTGTAGAATGATAGCATAGATCTACCTCACACAGCACTGACATATCTGTTTGGTTACCAAGTATACTGGTCGAGGACAACATAACTTTATACAGACAATTATATAACAGTCTTCAATGTCTTCATTTCATGCCTTTATCATTTTATTTAAATCTAAACCTTTTTTTATTTACAAAGAAGTGTTATGAATTTTTTTTAGCTCTATATCTTATGTAAGTGTGGTACTGGTGTGGCAGGAAGGGAGAGGTGGGGAGCGACACATTTAAAGAAAAACTTTTTAAAAAGCCATTCTGTGACAATATAATGTAGGTCCTAAAATAAACACAGGGGAATCTCAGGATTTGTAGTTAATATTGGTGTGATCAATACTTCAAATGTTGATTGATGTGAACCAAAAGAAAACACATCTGGTTGTTTACTGTTTGAATTACCACTGTTTCACTTGATCAAACCAACTTATTTGTCAATGTTACATATATGTAAACCAAAGTCAGTTGTTAATGTGAGAACATAACATTGCTGTAATGATGGCCTATAATGAATTATCATTTATGGTAATATTGGAAATAGCAAACAGATTAATGAGATATACCCTGAGTGAGGTATGCATTTGCAGTGTACATGAGATCATGTACAAATTGTATATGTACTTTAATGTATATTTGCTGTACACACAAGTTTGTGTATATTTGCTGTACACACAAGTTTGCATATATTTTCTGTACACAAGTTTGTGTATATTTGCTGTCCACACAAGTTTGCATATATTTGCTGTACACAAGTTTGTGTATATTTGCTGTACACACAAGTTTGCGTATATTTGCTGTACACAAGTTTGCATATATTTGCTGTACACAAGTTTGTGTATATTTGCTGTCCACACAAGTTTGCGTATATTTGCTGTACACCCAAGTTTGCATATATTTGCTGTACACACAAGTTTGCGTATATTTGCTTTACACACAAGTTTGTGTATATTCACTGTACAGGCAAGTTTATACATATTTGCTGTACATACATACAATATATGATATATTACTAATATATAATTTTACTTTTGCATACCAGGTACCTGTGTTTAATAATATGTTTCACTGTTCCTAAACATGTATAAACATGAAGGAAGACCACTGTTGGCCTAAGGTTTATCATTATAGATATTATGAATTACTGACTATGATTACAGATCTGTAAATCATCCAGCTTAATTCATCAGTAAAAACCATTATTACTTGCCTCAATAAGAGTGCATGTAAACATGAATGTTATTCAGCCACTTGTGTTACACCTTGGCTCTACACTCTGTTCTTTATCATTAATTCTTTCAGCCTTCCTGTGGATACAAATTGATAAAGGTTTTCATTGTAAAATATGTATTGCTTCATTATTTAATGTTTGTAAATAAAATTTTAATTGAAAGATAACTTAAAAATGACTTCTGTTCTAATAATGATAAATCAGATGGTGTCACTTCAGTAGGAGGTGATGGATGTGGCTACAGAATCCAGGAGTAGCCCGTCTGCTAGCATTCTCTATATCCATCTCACCAGCATTACAGAAGCAGCTGTAGGACTCAGTTTCAAGACACTCGTGCCACAAGTGATACCATAGGTTTAGTAATAATCTGTTGAAAACTGTTTGGAAAGCAGTTATGTTATAGACATATTTAAGATCGGGTAGTAACGTAATAGACATATTTTACATCAGGTAGTGATGTAATAGACATATTTTACATCAGGTAGTTATGTAATAGACATATTTTACATCAGGTAGTTATGTTATAGACATATTTTACATCAGGTAGTTTTGTTATAGACATATTTTACATCAGGTAGTGATGTAATAGACATATTTTACATCAGGTAGTTATGTTATAGACATATTTTACATCGGGTAGTAACGTAATAGACATATTTTACATCAGGTAGTGATGTAATAGACATATTTTACATCAGGTAGTTATGTTATAGACATATTTTTACACCGGGTAGTTATGTAATAGACATATTTTACATCAGGTAGTTATGTTATAGACATATTTTATAGACATATTTTACATCAGGTAGTGATGTAATAGACATATTTTACATCAGGTAGTTATGTTATAGACATATTTTTACACTGGGTAGTAACGTAATAGACATATTTTACATCAGGTAGTGATGTAATAGACATATTTTACATCAGGTAGTTATGTTATAGACATATTTTTACACTGGGTAGTTATGTAATAGACATATTTTACATCAGGTAGTTATGTTATATACATATTTTACATCGGGTAGTAACGTAATAGACATATTTTACATCAGGTAGTGATATAATAGACATATTTTACATCAGGTAGTTATGTTATAGACATATTTTACATCGGGTAGTAACGTAATAGACATATTTTACATCAGGTAGTGATGTAATAGACATATTTTACATCAGGTAGTTATGTTATAGACATATTTTTACACCGGGTAGTTATGTAATAGACATATTTTACATCGGGTAGTTATGTAATAGACATATTTTACATCGGGTAGTTATGTTATAGACATATTTTACACCGGGTAGTGATGTTATAGACCTATTTTACACCGGGTAGTTATGTTATAGACATATTTTACATCAGGTAGTTATGTTATAGACATATTTTACATCAGGTAGTTATGTTATAGACATATTTTACACCGGGTAGTTATGTTATAGACATATTTTACACCGGGTAGTTATGTTATAGACATATTTTACACCGGGTAGTTATGTAATAGCCATATTTTACATCAGGTAGTTATGTTATAGACATAGTTTACACCGGGTAGTTATGTTATAGACATATTTTACATAGTTATGTTATAAACATATTTTACACCGGGTAGTTATGTTATAGACATATTTTACATCGGGTAGTTATGTAATAGACATATTTTACATCAGGTAGTTATGTTATAGACATATTTTACACCGGGTAGTTATGTTATAGACATATTTTACACCGGGTAGTTATGTTATAGACATATTTTACATCGGGTAGTTATGTTATAGACATATTTTACACCGGGTAGTTATGTTATAGACATATTTTACACCGGGTAGTTATGTTATAGACATATTTTACATCAGATAGTGATGTTATAGACATATTTTACATCAGGTAGTGATGTTATAGACATATTTTTCACCGGGTAGTTATGTTATAGACATATTTTACACCGGGTAGTGATGTTATAGACATATTTTACACCGGGTAGTTATGTTATAGACATATTTTACACCGGGTAGTGATGTTATAGACATATTTTACACCGGGTAGTTATGTTATAGACATATTTTACATCGGATAGTTATGTTATAGACATATTTTACATAGTTATGTAATAGACATATTTTACACCGGGTAGTTATGTTATAGACATATTTTACACCTGGTAGTTATGTTATAGACATATTTTACACCGGGTAGTTATGTTATAGACATATTTTACATCGGGTAGTTATGTTATAGACATATTTTACACCGGGTAGTTACGTTATAGACATATTTTCCATCAGGTAGTTATGTTATAGACATATTTTACATCGGGTAGCTATGTTATAGACATATTTTACATCGGGTAGCTATGTAATAGCCATATTTTAAATCGGGTAGCTATGTTATAGACATATTTTAAATCGGGTAGCTATGTAATAGCCATATTTTAAATCGGGTAGCTATGTTATAGACATATTTTAAATCGGGTAGTTACTAAAAATGCATTTTTCTCACATCTGGTAATTATGAAACAGGCATTCATAGAACAGATAACTGGGAGGTTATATGATGGATATGTTTTACACTGATAACAAGTTAGTGGTATAATGGGTATTTTACACTGATAACCTGGTAGTTACACATTGTATTTATCGAATAAATTGTATTTGAAAAATTCATGTTCATCATTTTTTATTTGGGTGTTTGTTGGAAAATTATTCAGTAATGTATCATTAGGTTTCACATCCCTAAGATTATGATCCGTAGTTTTGGATTGTGTGTAATTTACAGAAACACTATTATCATTTAACACTAAATCATTATGTCAGTAAATATTTGTTAACAAGATTCACCTTAACTGTTATTATAATCTGTTGTTCTGTATATAAACCACAAGGCATTAAGTCAACAAAGAGCTAAATTAGAATTCAGTAAGGATATGATTACAAGGTACATTGGCTGTTTGTCATGTTGTAGATTTCCTCACCTTCTGGAGGTATGAAATTGAGACGATTATTCCACAAGCCTGTAAGAGTTTAAAATTGAAATGGTAGACAACTAAATATTTACACTCTACAATAAAAGTACTATAGAGGGATGCCCTAATAGTTTATTGAGGGATGGTCGATACAAGGATGGCCGCTTACTGGGTTTACTACTGAAGAGAAAAGGCCATAATTTATCTACTCTGCGAAATCCTGATAACGTACTTTCGAAAACTTGTGAATGTTTGGGAAACTTGACACGTGATATTTAAAATCAGGCATGTTCTGGGATGATGTTTTGCGCTTCAAAAGGCCTTTGTGACAAATGCGTGTGTTGCAATACTGAATATATGAGGTAGATTTTATGTGAACAATGTTTGGGAAATATCATAATAATGAAGCATGCTTATATTTTCGAAATATCGGCGTCAGTTATGGAACTAGTAATGGAGTTAGTGACATATCGGGACGTGTCGACGGCGGCGAAATACTAGGTGTGTTCGGTCCGAGAGGTGAGTGGCAAACTACCTGGGTTTAGTAATAATTGACTTCAAAATTATCATAACTTGGGTAAACAAACAGCCTGGGTTTAGTTAAGATTGGCTTTAAAATTATCATAATTCAGGAAGACGGTATAGGATTTGTTTAAGAGGATATACACACAGGTGCCTTTTAGTTAGTAAATAACAACTCACTTATCCCTTTAACATTGCACCCCGCCAAACACTCAGCATCAAATATTTCGTGTGAAATGTGGACGTAATATTCATCGATTCCATTTTCGAAGTTTGATATTTTTTTTTATTTCTTTGGATAAAATTGTTAAGTAACAGTGTATAATAGTATTAAATTTATAGAATTAAAATTTGAATTTAAAATTCTGTCTACATGTAGCTATTTTGTTTGGTCATTTGTGTTGTCTTACAGGCTGCGGGAAGACAACACTGCTGTCGACTCTTTCCGGCCTCTTGCCAATGTCCCGGGGGGACATTCGGGTAGGGCTAACTCCTATAAAGAAAGCCCGGCGGATGGTTGCCTTCTGTCCTGCTGTAGATGAATTTCTGCCCACCCTCACGGTACAAGAAACGCTCAAAGTGAGTTCTTATAAACGAAATATCTGTCTTTTTTTAATCAAATTGTCTTGTTCAAATGGCAAGATGCATAATATTTGTCTTTTTATAAGTATCACGATGGCTATAGCAATATCACGTTACCAAAACAGTTTTTTCTGGTAATGAATTTTTGAAATTTAAAATTTGATTTTGAATGTAAAAGGAAAAAAAGAGAAAGGCATTTTCCACGTCATTCGTCAGATTATCTTCACATTCTAAAATTATATCTATGTAACGCGTTTTTATTAAATCATTTTCATGACCATCCACAAAAAAACTCAGTAATATGACAAACCATTCGAATGTGTCACCGAAATGTGACGTGAAGAGTATGATAACCTTGAGAGATAATCTGATTCACTTTTCTCTCACCTGTTACCTATAATTACATATGTACTATGGTGAGTTCCAATGCTTATTTTGATATACAATATACCTTTAGATGTTTTTTTAGATAATACATACCTTACACATTCAAATATGTTGAAAGGCGAAAGATAATTCTCGGTGCATAGGATGTGATGAGCTATTCACCGTTAAACACTATTTATTGGACTGCGTTGACCTTCTGTCTACTCGAGAAATATTTTATCGTAACGTTACAAGTCTAAAGACCCTTTTTGAAACTGTTGAGATTTGTAAAAAAAAATAGGTTATCCGAAAGATGTTGGTCTTTATTTTAGACTTTGACTTACCATTTAAATCTTTTGTGATAATATAACCATTTACGGTTTTTATGTGTTGACGGGCCGTTAAGAATGTAATAATAATAATAATAATAATAGAGATTTAGGTTTGTCTGCATTCCCCCACCCCCAACCCCCCACTCCCCAGTTTGATATGTTTGTAAATTTTCATTAAGACGGATAGTAGACTGTTGTTGATTATAATCAATCGATACGTACATACACGATAAGATGTCATACGCTTATCACTTATATCACATACATAACATATATATGGTATAATGTTAGGCAGTCTGGAATACTTAGCCAGGCGATTTGGTGCCGTAGATCGTGAGTTCGAGGTCCTTACAGGGCACACGTCACAAGTTGTCTTCTTTCCTGAATTGTGTTAGTGTTGGGCGGGCAGATGACTTCCATATCTTTTCACGTCTGCTCGGGGACGCGAACCCCGCACGTCTAGGTTATATATTATATATACATGTAGAAGGAATAAGTATGGGGCTAGGGCCGCGCCCTGAGGTACTCCATCTTCAAAAGTTTCCAAGAATATCGTTAAGTGGAATTCATTATAGATGATATAATTTCTCACACCTTCCAAACATCTGATTTCTATTTCCGTGTATTTGTGGTTTGTATATCAATCCCTCACACCAGACCATATCAAAAGCTTTGTTTATGTCACAAAAAACCAACATTATTTCATTACCTCCTTCTAGCAACAACAGTATTATATACTGTCAGTTCAGGGTTATTTCTCATGATTGAAAAGAGGGGTTGCATTACTTCATGCAATTTTCATTCAGATAGCCATTTTTGCCAAGATGAAGAAACAAACTCAGATAGCTATTTTCGGCACTTAACATCGAGAAAAGTGATTAATTTATTTGGAATATGTTACTTGTGGTGACATTTTATACAAAAGTTTATTGAAGTCTGATTAATTTTTACTTAAGAGAATCACCTTAGCAAAACAAAACAAAAGAAGAAGAAAAAACAAACAAAAAAAAAAAAAGCAAAATAAAAAAGCAGAAACTGTTGACGCCTTTAAAACGGACGACAAAGCTGTCAAAAAATTAATCCGCAAATAAGTGTTGTACAAAACATTCTAATAAGCGCTCCGCTTTAACTTATAACTACAACTTCGGGTAGCAACATATATATAAACCCCAAAGGATTCAGAAATGAAATTGGAGTTTGTTGTATATGGAATAATTCCTGTTAAATACGACTTACATACATCTACAGAAAGCCAGATCAACATTTCATGACGTCATAAAATTGCTGTTTTTAATGGAATATGTTGTTAACGTAAAACAACAGTTCAACAATGTACTGTTACATAGGTAGTTTGTTAAGACATTGATGATAAGTATACATAAGTAGTACATGTTAAGACATTGATGATAAGATGTACATAAGTAGTATATGTTAAGACATTGATGATAAGTATACATAAGTAGTATATGTTAAGACATTGATGATAAGTATACATAAGTAGTATATGTTAAGACATTGATGATAAGTATACATAAGTAGTATATGTTAAGACAGTGATGATAAGTATACATAAGTAGTATATGTTAAGACATTGATGATAAGATGTACATAAGTAGTATATGTTAAGACATTGATGATAAGTATACATAAGTAGTATATGTTAAGACATTGATGATAAGTATACATAAGTAGTATATGTTAAGACATTGATGATAAGATGTACATAAGTAGTATATGTTAAGACATTGATGATAAGTATACATAAGTAGTATATGTTAAGACATTGATGACAAGATGTACATAAGTAGTATATGTTAAGACATTGATGATAAGATATACATAAGTAGTATGTGTTAAGACATTGATGATACGGTGAGAAGTGTCCAGTTGATCACTTTTCTTTACTGTTTCAGTTTACTGCCTTCCTACATCTAAGTGCAGCCCTATCAACCGACAGTAAAATCAGAAGGGTAAAAGAAGCTGTCGATCTACTGCAGTTAGATCACTACAGAAACTGTTGTAAGTACTGACCTCAGCAGAAACTGTTGTAAGTACTGACCTCTACAGAAACTGTTGTAAGTACTGACCACTACAGAAACTGTTGTAAGTACTGACCTCTACAGAAACTGTTGTATGTACTGACCACTACAGAAACTGTTTTAAGTACTGACCACTACAGAAACTGTTGTAAGTACTGACCTCTACAGAAACTGTTGTAAGTACTGACCACTACAGAAACTGTTGTAAGTACTGACTTCTACAGAAACTGTTGTAAGTACTGACCTCACCTGACCTCTACAGAAACTGTTGTAAGTACTGACCTCTACAGAAACTGTTGTAAGTACTGACCTTAACCTGACCTCTACAGAAACTGTTGTAAGTACTGACCTCTACAGAAACTGTTGTAAGTACTGACCTCTACAGAAACTGTTGTAAGTACTGACCTTAACCTGACCTCTACAGAAACTGTTGTAAGTACTGACCTCTACAGAAACTGTTGTAAGTACTGACCTTAACCTGACCTCTACAGAAACTGTTGTAAGTACTGACCTCAGCCTGACCTCTACAGAAACTGTTGTAAGTACTGACCTCTACAGAAACTGTTGTAAGTACTGACCACTACAGAAACTGTTGTAAGTACTGACCTCTACAGAAACTGTTGTAAGTACTGACCTCTACAGAAACTGTTGTAAGTACTGACCTCTACAGAAACTGTTGTAAGTACTGACCTCACCTGACCTCTACAGAAACTGTTGTAAGTACTGACCTCTACAGAAACTTTTGTAAGTACTGACCATAACCTGACCTCTACAGAAACTGTTGTAAGTACTGACCTCTACAGAAACTGTTGTAAGTACTGACCTTAACCTGACCTCTACAGAAACTGTTGTAAGTACTGACCTCTACAGAAACTGTTGTAAGTACTGAACTCACCTGACCTCTACAGAAACTGTTGTAAGTACTGACTTTACCTGACCTCTATAGAAACTGTTGTAAGTGCTGACCTCAACCTGACCTCTACAGAAACTGTTGTAAGTACTGACCTTAACCTGACCTCTACAGAAACTGTTGTAAGTACTGACCTCAGCCTGACCTCTACAGAAACTGTTGTAAGTACTGACCTCAGCCTGACCTCTAAAGAAACTGTTGTAAGCACTGACCTCAACCTGACCTCTACAGAAACTGTTTTAAGAATTGACCTCAACCTGACCTCTACAGAAACTGTTGTAAGTACTGACCGTAACCTGACCTCTAAAGAAACTGTTGTAAGTACTGACCTCAACCTGACCTCTACAGAAACTGTTGTAAGTACTGACCTCAGGAGAAACTGTTGTAAGTACTGACCTTAACCTGACCTCTACAGAAACTGTTGTAAGTACTGACCTCAGCCTGACCTCTACAGAAACTGTTGTAAGTACTGACCTCAGCCTGACCTCTACTGAAACTGTTGTAAGTACTGACCTCAGCTTGACCTCTACAGAAACTATTTTAAGAATTGACCTACACCTGACCTCAACAGAAAGTTATGTAAGAATTGACCTCAACCTGACCTCTACAGAAAGTGTTGTAAGAATTGACCTCAACCTGACCTCTACAGAAAGTGTTGTAAGAATTGACCTCAACCTGACCTCTAAAGAAACTGTTGTAAGTACTGACCTCTACAAAAAGTGTTGTAAGAATTGACCTCATTCTGACCTCTAAAGAAACTGTTGTAAGTACTAACCTCAACCTGACCTCTACAGAAACTGTTGTAAGAACTGACCTCAAACTGACCTCTACAGGAAATATTGTAAGTGCTGACCTCAACCTGACTTTTACAGAAACTTCAGAAGCAGTACCTAACCCTTATAGATAAAATTATATTTATAAATATGACAGATTTTCTCTTTCTCTACGATTATCTTTCTGTAAAGTGTTTAGATTCTTTCTCCAGTGGTGCAATTTCTGGACCGCTCGACCAAGAAGCGCTTGGCCATCGCCTGTGCCATGCTGACCAGTCCGGCAGTTCTCCTACTGGATGTGAGTCACTGACCAAAGAACATAATCAATATCAGCGCATACTGTTAAACAATAATAATCAAAGGAAAATGTATAATTCTTTCAACATGCGCGTATTCTAACACTTTGGTGTTGTGTTCGATTCCGATTCGTGTTGATAAGCCATGTCAGCCAAACTAACAAATACATTACTCAAATGGAAAAATATTCTAAAATAGAATTATTAGCTACATTTGTTATAAAAGGTTGAAATTAAGTGAATATAATTCTATAACACACACGAAGGGTCTAGAGTTTAGTTCTGTGATATCAGTAAGTGACTGAAGTTACTGTTTACCCTCAGGAGCCCCTCCAAGGATTGACGTTTGTCGAGATTATAGACTTGCTAAAGTTGTTACGATTGTACGTTGAAAAGACAGCACGGGCCTTGGTGATTGCGACTAGTGTATGTCCAGGTGTCGTTTACCAAACATGTTTGCAACATCTATTTCTCTACAGGTCAAAGGTGAGACTTCTTCCTGGTGAACATTTCAAATTATCGAGAAGACCGTAAACTTGAAAATTAAATAAATATATTCATTCATTAACAGGATAATGTTAAAAAATGGTCATATTCTTTAATTTTCGTGATGCTGCGGAAAAACAAAGATTTTTTTATTTGTCTGTTTTAATGTAGAATTTAGTACTATGTTTAGTAAATGTGTAAATATGGTGTTACAGATGGCATACAGCGGTACATCACATCAACTTGTCCAGTTTATGAGGGACACTGGATTGTGTTGTCCTACCGACTATAACCCTGCTGAATATTTTTGTAAGTCATTAAGAATTTTGAAACAAAACAAACTAATAAACTATGAAATGAAGAAAATCAAAATGGTTTTAATTTGGAGTACTTCAAAATCCGCAATCCATTCGTTCTATATTTGATGTCAAGAATTTAATAACGATGAATGTTAAAGTAAGTTTATATGGACAGAATATTCTTGTTATATTGCATTATAGTATTATATCAACGTTGTTTATTTGTTTTGATTACAGTAGAGAGGCTGTGTGAAGAAACCCTTGACGATAACATACCAATCCAGGATAAAATTATAACAGCCTTCATGGACAGGAAGTACGTTGTCTTCAAGAGATGTTCCGCATAAGTTACGATTCCACGCGAAGCTTTTAAAGAAAACTGTACAAAATCATCTACTTATGTCAATTTACCATTTAAACAAATATTTTATATTTAATTTGTGGAAGTCCTTTACGGATCTAGCTAGATAGATTTACAAACGTCCGGGCGACCCTGATTGCATAATAACGGGTTTGCATTTTTATAAGCCGAATGGAAAAAAATATTTGTAGAAATCATAAAAATCAATAGAAAATAAAGGCATTGAAATGATAAAATTGTAAACCTAGCAGAAACTTTAGTGAACAGCATACTCACTAATGTATTTACCCAATACTCCGGATTGCCAGATGTGGTCCATATTTTGGCGGGTAAATCTATAGTGGCTACAATTACTCCCAACAATATCGCCTGGCCACAGGAGAGATATTCTGATGTTAACAATAGTTTTGAAAGTCATTAGACTGAGTTCTTAAAATGTATAGAGCAGCCAGAAATTGTGCAACTTGGTTGAAATACCCATTTTAAAAAAAGTTTGATTTTAGACTGTTTTTATGTGCTACAATGTGCTTTCGTGAATGTCTAACCCAATTGTGTCCATATATTAACAGTCGATAGGAAAACACGGATGTCAGAGGAAACACTTTTGGAATTAGGATTGGTTAGAGGTAGAACAAGGATAAAACTTAGATCCATAGCTACTCTATGGCAGAATTTGCCAAAACATTATTTCGTTATCAAAGATACGTTGACACCAACCATGTGTTTGATTTTTTTTTCAAATTATTAGCAATTAAAGTTACTTGCTGGATATATTTTAATGACGAAACGCGACCCGTGTATGGAGTTGTGTCAACAACCAGGACGCATCAATATCAACCTCATCCGATTGAAAATTACCCAAAAATCGAAACATGAAAAAAAAATCAACTAGAAAGGAAAACTATGTGTTATTTGTGATGTTAGATATCTTACATGTCTTTTTATTGGTGGTATCAGACACAAACGTGTATATGTTGATATGAGATACGTTTTTATTTTATCACAAGAGAAAACGTAATTTTCAATTTGTATATCAAAGATGAATTTCACACAATATTTTCAAAAATAAAATGTTACAAGATAATTAAGTCAAAAGTAAGCACTCCTTGTTGTTCAAATTCACAATATGCTTTTCAGAAACAAGACAGATGCGCCCTTGAACACGATAGGGAACGGTGTCACAAAAACACACATGTCAGAAGAAGAGATACAGCAGAATGGAGTTATTATAAATACAATCTCAAGACCTACTCCGGACCAAGGCAGGTCTATTTAGTCTAACGATAAACTTGTTGCCTAGGGCGTGGTGATTTTAATTGTGTTATTAATTAAATAATTTTCCATAACCATCAATTCCTTTTCTACTGATATACCTAACGTTACCCTCTCTGTTTCGCTTCATTGTTGAGCATTCACAGAAACGATAAAAAGTTTTCGTTTCAGTCCCATGGTGTGACCAAAGCCTATGATTACATGAATCATCGTTCTCTTCATAATAACTTATTACCCCGATAGCAGTTTATTCCGGCATGATAGTCATTTTACTGGTTTGTCAAGTGTTTGACATTTCAGTGTGATAGCACTATAAAATATTTCTTAATCGTTGTCTTCATACCACAAATTTACGCTGTTGCGGTCGTTATACCCCAAACTTACAAACATCTTATAGCTTTCAATATTTTACAACACTCAACGAATTAATAAACTGATTTGGTTCGTACAATGAATCTTTTTGAACGTGTTTTTAGAAGCATACTGTCAATAAGAAGACTCGCAAAATCACACATATTTAATCATATAAGTTGTTGTTATTATTTGGTTTATTTTACTGCTTTAACGTTCACTGTTACGGTCTATCGGCCTTTCAGCGGACGAGAAGGGGTAAGAAAATGAGTAGAAAGGGAAATGTAAGAAGTGATGGGAGAGAGTTGGGTAGAGATTAGAGGTAGAGAGTGACCGTCTATACTACTTGATCTGTTCTTACAACTATAATTTAGAAGACGAAGCCTTTGGCCTAATTGTAGACCTAGCTTAACACTAAGCACGCCGCAGCAAAAGGGTTTATGGACAGAGAGGAAGAGGATCCTACCCTAAATAAATTCCGACATGTTGATACTATTTCGGAAGTGCGTTAAAATTATTAAATAAGTAGTCCCTATTGCTAATCTAACACTAATCTTGGTCAGCGTTGTCATGTCTGCTCTTTTTCGAAAAACGACAGAATAATCTTTATCGTGCGAATAATGTTTTTACATAACAAAGAAGTATGGACAATGAGATACACAACTTGAAAATAACATTTAAACAGTAAATTTACACATTTTTGGAAAAGTGTAGAAAATGTGAAAGGATGCGCTTGTTTCCAATTTCTTTTACAGATGAATCTGTGTTTTCAATAGAAGATATTTCACCAAGTGCGATAGTTACCGACCCATTAATCACAACATACAGACAACAGTGGAGTACGCCATATTGTCACGAATTCCTGATATTATTAGAAAGGAACTTTCACAATGCTCGTCGCCGAATGCTTGCTCCAGTCGGGATAGTCCAGAATCTCTATATTCTTGTTGTCTGCGTTCTAGTCTGGTGGAAGCCGGGGAGAAACGAGGACACAGTTAAAGACAAACTCGGACTGGTCAGCGAAGCTTTGATAAATAGAAAAAAGTCATCATAAACCTCGGGGTGTACAGAGAAGCATTGATAATTAAAAGAAACCCCGGGCTGAACAGAGTAGCTTTGATAAATACAAGTATTAATACAGTTGAATTAAACGACTCGGTAATATTTCGAGGTTTATTAGTCCACGGCTAGGTGTTCACGGTAACATGATATATGATTTTAGGGTTCAAATTTCATGCTTCAAAATCGATGACATTGATATCGTGGATAAACAGTGCTCTATCATTGTTAGTGGTACAATATTGAGTTATTTTGTAACCGTTGTTTATCATTTTGTGGTCACAGGAAGTCGTGCATTAAAAAGTTCTAAGCGTCGAGAATAGAACCCCACGAATATTAATTCTTTTGCATTATTCTAAAACAAGTAACTGCTTTGTATACATATATATATGTTTTGAATATCTTATAACTTTTTTATTTTATTTTCAGTTTTTCTTTACCGTGGTGCAGTGGGCTTTCTTCGCTTTACTGGACGCTATACTGACATGTATGTATCTGTTGTGCACGTGGTGCGTCCAAGACTGCTAACATCTACTTGGTTGAAATAAGAGTTATGTCCCTTTAATGAAAACCATCATAGTTTTAAAAAAGGAGATACCGGCATGTGCAAGACACCGAGATCACAGCTTTTTACTGAGCCAAATGATAAGCGTGATGATTTCAACTTCACTTTGTTGATTTTTCGTTTCTAGAGAACGCAATTTCTGCATTCCTAACCTATAGTGTTTGCAAGCTCACAGCTGATTCAATACCCAAGGGCATGTTCTGTATATCATGATATTCATTGGCTTGTTCTCAATATCATGTTTTTCGTGCAACAGAGACACAAACACAAAAGTAGGGTTTCAAGAGATGCGGGTTGATGAAAATGACGGGGTAGTTTTCGGTCATAATAATGACCTTATAAGGAAGTACTCTATTGTCTTATGTGGTATGAAGTTGGACATAATTTGATGCTCGTTGTGTGCCTGTTGGTTCCTATGTTTTATACCTTGTTCTCATTTGGGAACGTGACATAACTTATCTAAATTGACGCAAAATACACTTACTCTTCCTTAACACCTAATCGTTCCCTCCCCGTGTAAATGTCTTGTTCATATTTTGCCCTAGTTTTATTGTGTTTGTTTTTGGAATGTGATTCTGTTGACATGTTAGCATTTTCATCGTTGTTTTCAAACTGAAAATCAACAAAAATACGAACACAATAAAAATTTATACAGAGACACATGGAGGATAAGACAGCTGTTCCTCCAGTGTCATCTGTTATACATGTCAAGTTAGATTGTCATGATTTTACTGTATTTCTTTGAACTCGTTCGCAGTCCCTAAGGAGCTGAAAGTTGTGACCAGAGAACGGACCTTTGGACGGTATCGCCTATCCACATACTGTCTATCGAAGACATTGAGTGAGCTCCCCTTGGCCAGTCTACAGCCGTGTGTATACCTGTGTGTCATCTATTGGGTGGCCGATCTGAACGGAACGTACGCCTTCCTCTCCTCCATAGGGGTTCTTGTGCTCGACGTTATAGCCGCACAGGTACGTCATCAGAATTGGCCACGCCCATATTGTTGATATTTACAGGCAAATACATTAACGTCATAACGAACGAATTGCTGCACGTTTTTACTATAGTAAATACGGTAGTGATGTGTCACGATCGATGTCTCTTTTGTTGCAGTAAGTCCATTGTTGTTAGAAGTCGTTTCTTAATGACACGCAAAAAATTCTGACCCTGCAAGTTGACAGTTTTTAATTATTTTATCCTTATAAAGTAATTGAAAAAAAAAACGAAATGAAGAATAACCAGGCTACAAAAACTGACAAAGATGACGGGCAAAAGCAGCATTACGTAATCATGGCATTGGTCATGACATTATGTAAACTGACAGGAATCATCCTATTGTATGACGTCACTGAAAGTAAGCTGTTCTGTAACTTCTCTCGTCGTAAAGGGCGACAAATCTTGGTATATATTTATTGTATACCAGGAATTTTTCCCCTGAGTTTAATGTTCACCCATTTCGTCCATGAAAAGGGGAGGGCGAATTCATGATCGGTCAAATTTTTTTAACACTTACATACATCAATATAATAACTACAGAGGAAATGAACATGAGAAAATTCGTATATAATGGTACAATGGCGAAAATAACATCGGGCGAATATATCCCGAAATACAATCCTTTCCTGATGTGTGTCTTGACACTGTTGGTGGAATTTGAGATGACCCACTGTATGGGCTCTGTCTCCAAAAGCCATGATATACCAAAGTCATCAAAACAGTAGTTCATGATCCTTGGATGCCATGCACAATTTCACCGTATGTGTTGCCATACTGAGTATATAATTTCAGTGTGATAACACTATAAGAACACCCGTCAGTGGCCCTATCATTAACTAGTACGTCGCAACATGCCCCAGGCTGTCGTGAAGACCCCCCCCTAAAACCAACACTTACCTCTCCAAAGCAACAAACAAACCATTGATCATTCATATTATTTCTCCTTGTTATTCATATCAAAAAGTTTATTACTAACGTTCTATCTTTTTTCCTGTCCACAGAGTGTTGGGCTTTTTGTGGGAGCAGCCCTCCAGCCCCCTTGGACCATAAGTGTGGTGTCTCTAGGACTCCTCTCTATGATGCTGTGGGGTAAGTTGTTGCCCTTCCAGTAATTTCGAAATCCCTCTTTATAATGTTTGTGGTAACTTATATTTACTCCACTCTATAATATTATTTTTTTTTGACGTAACTCATATTTACTCCTCTCTGTGATGCTGTGAGGTATTTTTTGTGGTAACTAATATTTACTCCTCTCTATGATGTGTCGTATTTTTTTTGTTTCTGTGGTAACTCATATTTACTCCTCTCTGTGATGCTGTTAGGGTATTTTTTGTGGTTATTCACGGACACCTCTCTAGAATTTTAAAGGGTATTTTTGTATCTGTGGTATCTGTGGAGTAAGAGTCTTTGACTGTTGCTGCTCATTTTAATAAACGTTATTTAGTAAAGAAATTAGATTGAACAACAGTCATAGCTTTATTGAGTTGTCACAGATAGGTAACAAAGGGTATACACATAGTAAGATACCCTTATAAGGTAACATAGGGACACTGTTGACGTGTTATTGTCATGTATTAAGTAATTCGGAACTCGTGTTGATTTAAACATATTTTATTGTCGACAAAAGACGAATGGATAAGAGACAAGTTCTTACAACATATAAACTCTTCTCCACAAATACAGTACAGATAATATTTTACAACACGTGACATATATTCGTACAATAAACATAATGCTGTAAAATCAGGAGTTGTTGAGAGAGGAAGGGAGAGAGGGAGAGAGAGAGGGAGAGAGAGAGAGAGAGAGAGAGAGAGAGAGAGAGAGAGAGAGAGAGAGAGAGAGAGAGAGAGGGGAGAGAGAGATTCATGGACGACTGCATTAGTAAAGATTCAGGTAGCATCAAATCGTTTGGACTGTTGGATATATGTTTGAACTGATTTTACTATTTCGCAATTAGTTTGATATGAATAAGAGTTAATATCACCCCATAATAAGGTTTCTACGTTAAAAATCACGTCTAGGTCATATAAAGTATCAAACAATATACGTCTACAATTAGAAAATAAAGGGCACGAAAGAAAATAGTGACTTGCATCTTCAACGCCAACTCCACAGGAGCAATTTGGAGATTGACAAATTCCCACTCTAAATAAATCTGAGCGTAATCCACTACAGTTGTTCCTTATTCGACAATGTATAACAGAAAGGAAACGGTTACCAGAGTATAGATAATCTGGAACAGAAAAGTTAACGGGAGAAAGTTTAGATCTGAAGGTATTTAAAGACGGAGAGGCTTTGACAGAATTATCTACTTTATTCCACAAATTTATAGACGACGGCACAAAAGATTTTTTCATAATATTTAGACGATTGTGGGGTATTTGGTAATTCTCGGGGTTTCTTAATTCAATATTTAACTCACGTCTGATAGGAGATAGTAGATTGAACTCGTGTATCCACGTATCTGCTGGATACAGACCAGGAAAGTGTGTAACAGCTATTAAACTACTGGTTATAATTTGCTATCATGGATCTATGTATCTTCTTACTTTTGCCAAACTTACAGCTATTAAACTTCTAATTGTGATGTTTCAATCTTCTTCAGGCGGGGCATTCAACACTCTTCCTTTATGGCTACAATGGGGAAAATTTGCATCTTTTTTCTTTTATGGCCTAAATGCCTTGATCTATCTGGAGCTTTCGGACGCTCCGCCCATAAAGTAAGTCTACAAAAACAAGCTTGGTGGCATATCTACGATGACCGTGAACATTTTTTTAAACGTTATTTAAAAATGAAGAGACGATCTTTATTATTGGTAATTGTGTTCTCCACTTCAGCACATAATGTATAAAATACCATAGATAGAGACGATAAATAATAGAGATAAAACCCCGTAATGACAATCGGGAATCTTCGGCACTTTCCGTAAACGATACGTAATACGGAAAGTGCCGGAGGTTTGCGACTGCTGTAATGTCAATTATCTGCTGACTGTGTCTTTGCTGGATGTTGGTTCTAATTTTCCTTTCTTTTAACTATTCAGATGTTTGACAGAGAGTCCCTATCACACGATTCCCGTCTGTAGTCTCACTCTCAACGGAACTAACACCACAATCTCAGAATTTCCATCAGACTTGCTACTGGAGCCGCTTGGGACCGACCTTCCATTGTGGGCTTACCTCGCCGTCTTGGCCGGAATCATGCTGGTCACGAGAATGCTCTGGTATATTATCCTCCGCAGGAAACATCTAGACAAATGATGTATATTGATATATCTAGACAGATGATACTTTGCTATTTCTACTCTAGTATCGTAACCATATTATCGATAACGTAACCGGAGGCGATGAAGGTGTATAAAAGACTGCAATGATGATATTATTTCAAGGTTGCTCTCAAATCCTGAATTTCGAGTCATATGATAAAAAAAAATTAAATATCTTTTTGATTATGACTTTTGAAAAATATTGTATTTCTCTCTGAAAAGGTGTGAATTTCTCGACGAATTACCACCTGGGTACATAGTATAAATCCCACTGTCCAAGCCTTCCATGGCACAACAAAGATAATAATAAACGGACATTATATGCTATGTAAAAACTCATGTGTCGCCTTGTTACATTCTGATTTGCCATGTGGTGAATTGTATATAAATGAACAATTTTCGTACATCAAATCGCAGTTATACAAAATTCAAAGCGAAAGAATGCAACTGACATATTCAAATACCAGTTTCATGGATTGTTGGAAATATTCCGCCATTTTTATGTCCCCGGATCGATTGACGCTTACTCTTGCTGAACACCTGGTCTTATTCTTCTTGTTTAAGAGTCTCTGTGTGATAATCATACAAACTCAAATTTCATAAACTTAGTTGGTATTTTCTTGATGTTTTCGCTGACTTATTGGCGGCGGTTTCTTTGCTGTTATTCACAGACTCAAAGTAATATACTTCTGAAAACTAATCATGTTCTGTTATCAATATAATTACCTTACTGTACGCGTCCTATACAATACATGTTTAACTATTACACGAACGTATTGATAATTACATCAATACTTGTACTTGATATGACTTGTTTCTGAATAAATAAACATGAAAAACGCGGCACTAGAAAGTTATAGAAAACTTTATACAAGCATTAGACTTAACATCTCACGCACAGATATAGACTCTATCACTTCATTGTCCAAGCACTGAAGTTAAAGTTCCCGATCACAATACTTTAGTAAACAAGCTTAAAATTAGTTTATTTTGGAATTGTGGGGAACAGATTCGTAAAAAAGTTCGTGCTGGTTTGACGGTTTCGTTTTGATCGTTCCTGAAGGTGCGCGCAACCAAGTTAAATGTTTTCATGTCTTGTGTAAAAGCGTTAGTTGTTTAACGTACAGATAAGTCACTGCTATAGGATAATAACACTTATTAAGAAGTCAACTACAAATTAATCGCCCGAGACCATCTATCGTATGTACGAAGGACCGATACGCCGGAGAAATTAGCCATGTGTTACGCACAGATGTATTTCTACTCTGTGCATGTATTGACTAGTTTCGTCAAAAGACATGCCGATATTTTGATAAAAAATAATTTCGAGACAACGAATGACTTTTCCCTTGCTTTACAGTTGAAGGGACTGAAAATCACTTTAATTCAAACGAAATTTCGACTCAATGAAATTCGAGTCATCCGAACTAAAATTACAAAGAACAGAAGAAAACAAATGGGGACTTGAAAATTATTTCGACACTGATGGAGTTTCGACTCAAGCGATTTCGAGACAACGAATATATTAAAATAAAGAAACAACGCCTGTTTAAAACAAAAACAAAATGTGTAGGATTTATTCACATGGGTAGCCATAGTGTGGGAAGACACGTGGGTAGTCACGTGGCCATAGTATGGGAAGTCACATGGGTAGACACATGATCATCGCGTGGGAAGTCACATGGGCAATTTACATTCAGGGTCTTTGTAACAGGATATCCAGTTCTGGCGCTGCTTTTCAACGAATGCCCTATCACGGCAGACTGACGGAGAAAACTCGTGGTCCGAAACGTGGCGATAGCACATCAACCCTAAAACGATAAAATACTACTATTACAGATCATCAAGTTGACACAAATTTCCGGTAGATCTGTTATCTTTGTGATTTTGTAGCCATTTCTGTGTTGGTTGATTGACAATGAAATTATTTTTTATCCGAAATTCTATCAAACAATATATTTTTTTTATTTCTACGGTCGATCTAACTTTGGCATCACAACACCTACCTATTTATTCATTTATTTATTTATTACCTTGATCCTTGTCACACTGACAGAACTCGCCACAGTGCTCGCCGTGCTGGGCTAGAAGTGGCACACACGTGCCGTTATGAACGTCATGGAATGGACCTGTAATAATAGTAGAAGTCTGGAGAACAAGACGATGAGTATTTATCTGAGAGATTGTATAAAAGACACACAAGTGAATAACACTTTTGTGAACAAACTTATAATCTAAACTGAACCACAGTTTCCTCCTTCTTGTGAGGCGGAAACGAATAATCGAAACATTCTAAAGTAAATGTCAAAAACGAGATGTTACGGTACAGTAGCCAAGGAACTCAATAATTTTCAATTTTAAATAGTTTCTTCTGTACTGTGTCGATATTCAGCTTTTCAGATATTCCTAAGATTTGGAATATGCGATTGTCTATCAAAGAATAAAGAAAGGGAAAATATTAAAAAAAGAACAAGATGTGTTTATGAAACACTATGCCACCGGTTTCAACAAAATTCTGAAGTGGGACATTAAAACTGTACCGTGGAAGACATATGATAACTGTATGCACACTTTGTGAAACAGTTATGTCTTCTTTGTGGTATTAATTTGACAGTTTTTAGTTCAATAGTTATGGCAGATGTTAAAATTGTCCACATGTAGGTCACGGTCAAGGTGATATAGTAAAAACGTTTGGTACCATCAGAGAGGTGTTGTCACAAGGAACACACATGTTACCCATGAAAGCCTTATTATATCTTTTACGGTGCAAAAGTTATGGGCAATTTTAAAGTTGACGACTGACAAACAAACTGTATAAAAACCATGTGTTCCCGATCTTTTGATCCAGGGGCATAGAAATGAGACCACAAAGAAAAGGAAAGTTGAGAATCACGTGATTTACAGTTGCCAACGTTTAAGAGCGAGATTTCCATTACTTGTCATAATCCGGGTAAATGTTATCATCTGAGTTTGAATTAGAGGAAAGAAAAATAGATATATAGAATACATCTTCCTATAATAAAAAGAAAACATGGTCTAAAACTGTTTGTTCTATAAGCCATTGATATATTTGTTGGTAAAATTATAGGATTTGTTATCAAGGTACCCGCCATATCATTGCTTATTAGATATATTAGTAAGAAGCTCTGTTTGACTGACTGTCATTTTCATTGCTACATTTGGCCATTACATCCATCGTGTTGTGAACCAAAACGTCGATCTCAACCCATTTATCTTTTAACACACATCTAGACAATAATATTCTAGTTTTTTTTATTCTTACACATGTGAATAGGTGTGAGTAAACAACATCTAACCCATTACTGCTAATGTTTTTTTTTATTTTTTTTTTTCAAAACGAATCAATACGACAGTTCTATCTACGACCCCTTGAGTGGTGGTGAAACAGAAGAATAAACTCGTTCATGTAATTTTACTTATATATAAACACTTTTTAAACATTTAGAAAATGAAAATGGCCAGTCGACTGGTTGTTCTTACCAACGGCGTCGAATGTTCCCGAGAGAGTAATTAAGTTTCCATCCAATTCCCGACAGCAAGCGTCCAGGGGGCAATCGGCTGATGTGTGACAGGGAAGGTCTTGACTCACGTACAAGTGGGATGAATGTACCTGCACAAAAAAGGATGAACACAACTGGTGACATATAAAGAGAAATTCAGCGTGATACTTATACATAGATGTCGATTCTGTCTATAAAACAGCTAAAGGGAGAAGAGACAATTGCCTTATAAGCAGATGTGTCATTGCGATATACAGAGACACATAGTGACATGCAGAGATACATAGAATCATTGTGACATTCGGAGACACATAGTGACATGCAGAGACACATAGTATCATTGTGACATACGGAGACACGTAGTGACATGCAGAGACATATAGTATCATTGTGGCATACGGAGACACGTAGTGGCATGCAGAGACACACAGTATCATTGTGACATATGGAGACACGTAGTGAGATGCAGATACAATTAGTGCTATTGTAAGATACAGAAATGCAATTTAATAGTGGCAAACAGAGACACGCTATGACATAACGTAGACATGGAAACACATATACAGAGACATGTATTGTCTTATGTAGAGATATATCAGGACATTAACAAACAATTACACAGAGTTAAAAACAACTAGTGATAAACAAGCACCAACCTCAGGACGTCACCATATCAATCTGGACGATTATATGTTAACATTAAACGTCATTGGTCTCAACTGACACCTAACATCACCTCGATTGAAGGAACTACAATATATACTAGAACTATATTGGTCACTTTTAAGCAAACAATGACAGTCGATTGGGTAACTAGTATATACAATGGCTGTTTAAGAGGTGACTTTTTGATGACTTAAGCGATAAAATACACATTGTACACCAGCGCTAGATAGGACAGGGGTTGGTTGACATTCACCGTTTGGTACTATGTAAGTCTGTAGACCTATGTGACTCATGTCGCGTTTAGTGTATATCATACTTATATTGGTCATGTGTCATATTGAGATACTTACAATTACTATAACAGCGAACAGTGCCACCTATAAACAAGAGAAAAAACTGTTAGTACAAAACATTGACACATCATCATAAACACCATATGGGGGTCACTGTTTAACGTTTATTGTTTGTAGCTGAGTGTTTTACTGACTGTTCTGATGCCCTTACTATCATTGTGAAGTGTTGTTTCGATTCATTGTTCTGATGTCCCTGGTTTGACTCATTGTTCTGTTGTTTGTTTCGACTCATTGTTCTGATGTCCCAGTTTTGACTCACTGTTCTGTTGTTTGTTTTGACTCACTGTTCTGTTGTTTGTTTTGACTCACTGTTCTGATGTCCCTGTTTTGACTGACTGTTCTGTTATTTGTATTGACTCATTGTTCTGATGTCCCTGCTTTGACTCACTGTTCTGTTGTTTGTTTTGACTCATTGTTCTGATGTCCCAGTTTTCACTCACTGTTCTGTTGTTTGTTTTGACTCACTGTTCTGTTGTTTGTTTTGACTCATTGTCCTGATGTCCCTGTTTTGACTCATAGTTCTGATGTCCTAATTTTGACTCACTGGTCTGCTGTTTGTTTTGACTCACTGGTCTGTTGTTTGTTTTGACTCATTGTTCTGATGTCCCTGTTTTGACTCACTGGTTTGTTGTTGTATCGACTCATTTTTCTAGTGTTCTATCTTGTTTCCTCCGTAGAATATTTATTTTCTATGAACTGTGAACTCAAAATTGTAATCTACACATAAAAATGATTATCTATATAGAGATATCAACATTGTAAACCAATCTGTATTTCACTAAACGGGTAATTTCCTGTAATACATCTGTATGTGCATATTTATTAGAAAACTCTTAAATGTGTCTTTTTTAAAGCATCTATGCGCTAAATGTCGAAAGATAAAGTGTTTTGATAATAATTTGCTTCTATTTCACCTGGAAAGAGTTTTTTTTTTCGACGAATCTAAGAAATTCATGATTTTTATCGATCAGGAAATATTGAAACTTTTAATCATCAAAATAATTTTGATACATTCTATCACTTTGTGATAATGAAAACCTGAGCATCCCATATAAAAGTATCAAAGTTTTTAAAAAAATTTTCACGAAGAGAAATTTACCGATAAATAAGCGTGGAAAGATTCAACGCGATTTTCTAAGTTAATATGTCATTTAAATACATATACATAAGTCCTCTTCACCTGGCAACATTGCCGTATATCTATCAAAAATTATGAGGTGACCTGAATTTTGCTGTTTGAAGTAAGACATGTTTATCATGTAGACCGACACGTGTTTAATGTGTAATTATGATTATTTCAGAAACTGTATACATGTCCTGCTGTCATATTTGTAATTATATGATAAATGTTTAATTATATGCAAACTATAATGAAACACATACATAAATTTTCCTGACAGTAAACAAACTGTACACACTATTATTAACACGCATTCGTGACATTCCGGTACCTATGTTTATATATAATGAATCTACAGTAACATGCCTTTAGTCTTTCTTTATAATATATTTTTTATATTTCTTACTTTTTTCAGTGAATCTTCTTTACTCCATTTTTCGACGGATTTTCACAATATTTGGTCATTTGTACAATAAAATCCTTATTTTCTTCACATGATATTTATTTAATTTTCCGTTCTTTATTTCAGGTGTAATACAAAATTATCTCAACCGTTAATTTTCATGTGACGCCATTTTCCTATATACGGTTACTCAAATGACGTCAAAATGGCGTCCCGAAAATCGCATGTTGTAGAATGATTATTTCTTTGGTAATACACAACAGAAAACAATGGAAATAACATGAAATGAAGTAGGAAACAATTTTCCATAAGAGTACAAAATTTTGTTGAAAATGATTCATGAACGAAGTCAGGGAAAAAAAACCTTGAAAAAAGTTAGAAATACAAAGAATATGTTTAGAAAATTCAATAAAGTAAAAGACTTATGCGACGTCACTGTATTTAGACAATATACTGCTGAATGTTGTCTTCTCGAGACCCGTACGCGGGCTCCTAAGTAGAGTATTCTATGACTGGTGTGTACCGTCTCTCTGATCCTTGCTTTGGCTATTAGCCATCAAATAAATAAGATTAATTTATTAATAAATCATAAACATTTTTATTATTAAAAAAGTGAACTTTTGCTGCCAAAATTTGATCTTTTTTGTTTTTTTTTTTTTTTTTGTTTGTTCGTTTTTACTTCATATGTTTTCAAACAACTTTTCTTCTAGATTTTTATAACCTTTAGTCCCTAGTGCTTCAGTACAAAGGATAGAAGAGCTGTATGATGGAGTTTCATTTATCATTTGCCATAAACCGTGTCTATTTCTCTACTTCTATTTAGGATTCCCTTTAATATGTGCTTATGGCTATTTGCAGATTTTTTAGTCCAAGACCTATAATCCCTTCTGTGCAAGTGTTGCATCGAAAGTTATCTACAAAATACAGGTGAACACTGTTCTGCCTTGTCACTCAAGAAATTGATCACAGCTGACTAACTCCCCTTTTCTATTGCTTCCCAAAAACGCTTGTTTCTCTTTTGATTCGTTAATGTAATTTTGTACCTTCTTGTTGAAGTAATATTTTGTGTAATGTTTGAAATCTGGCTAGAAGAAATATCATTTGAACATTATTGTTTCAACATGGTATCTAGATACCATTTCATTACCGAACACTCAAATTCCCCTTTTTCGAAAAACATTCGGAATCATTTGAGCGGAATTATATATTCTCGTGAACTAGCACAAACTGAGGCAACCGCGAAATATCAGTACCATGAAATTATATATTTTACAATATCATAATCCTTAAACTGCGACACGAACGTCAGTTTCTCTCGTTTCATTTGACACACATGAAAGAGTCCAAGATCAAGTTAAAACCGGAAGTAACACCGGAAGTTACACCGTAAGACTTGTTATTTACACAGAAAAGACGCTGTAAAACAGATTTGGTGTCAGAAGCGATTAAGTAGGTAGAAATGTTTCTGTAATTCCTGGGCTTGTTTTAATAAACAAAGTAAGCATGATAAACGATGCGTGACAAACGTTGACATGTTAGGAGTTAACTACGGATTACATGTGTAATCATTTAATATTACTTTCCGGAAACAAGGAAAAAGGTTGACACTCTGGAATTGCAAATGTTTTTTTACCATGAATTAGAACTGTACAACGGTAAAGGAGATATACTATAGCGCGGTTGTAAGTAAAAGCTGTTAATATATAATATATCGTAATAAAGTCAGAAGCCTGATGTCAGTATTTGTCCGTTAGGCTAGAACAAGCCATATATCCCGAGGAAAGTCTCGTCCGACAATGGTTTTAACCCAGGAGGTGACAGGGCTCTGACACGAGCCCGAGGCGACACAAACTTTTCTTTTGTGTGTATAACATGCAAGAATCCACTTGTGTGACAATACCAGAGGTTTATGTCACTGGATTACTGTTTCTTAATGCTCATATATAAATCTTGATACCGAACGTAATTGTACACAGAAAAAAAATCGAATTGATATGATATCACATACTGGTACAACTGTACATGCTGTATAGATTATACTTAGACCGTTTTGGGGTAATCGGAATTATTCTGACGTTTTATAAAAAAATTAATGTCTGTGTGAAATCAATAAACATAGTTCTATTTTCTGTATAACCTTGTAAATCCAGCATTGACTGGAATTCTATAACAAAACATTTTATTTAATTCATATTATTTTTTTTAAATGTGTCGTCCCGAGGCACTACCGATGTCGGTATCTTCATTCCTTAACTCACTGATATGTCTGTCAGTTGGTGAACTGTCGATCGCAGTGAGTGTCATCATACTGACAGACATATACATAATGTAGATTGATGATTTATTAGCTGCGACCAGTATTAAGTTTTGCAGTTTTGATTACCAACTAGATATACGCGAACGTAAGTATTCGAACCCGGGACCTCTGGCTTACAAAAGAGAAGTTTTCTATAGCCGGACGGTGTTACGACTAGTTTTAACCTGAGTTCTAGTACAGTCGGACATCGTTATCTCGAACTCGACGGCACATGGGAAAGATAACCGAGCATTCAATTTATGTGAATTCTGATTAAGATGTCTAGTCACAGACGAGAAGTAATACTGCTGATTAAGATGTCTAGTCACAGACGAGAAGTAATACTGCTGATTAAGATGTCTAGTCACAGACGAGAAGTAATACTGCTGATTAAGATGTCTAGTCACAGACGAGTGGTAATACTGCTGATTAAGATATCTAGTCACAGACGAGTGGTAATACTGCTGATTAAGATGTCTAGTCACAGACGAGTAGTAATACTGCTGATTATGATGTCTAGTCACAGACGAGTAGTAATACTGCTGATTAAGATGTCTAGTCACAGACGAGAAGTAATACTGCTGATTAAGATGTCTAGTCACAGACGAGTAGTAATACTGCTGATTATGATGTCTAGTCACAGACGAGTAGTAATACTGCTGATTAAGATATCTAGTCACAGACGAGTGATTAAGATATCTAGTTACAGACGAGTGATTAAGATGTCTAGTCACAGACGAGTGATTAAGATATCTAGTGACAGAAGAGAAGTAATACTGCTGATTATGATGTCTAGACAGACGATTAGAATACTGCTAGTTACAGACGAGTGATTAAGATATCTAGTTACAGACGAGTAGTAATACTGCTGATTAAGATGTCTAGTCAAAGACGAGTAGTAATGCCGCTGAATAAGATGTCTAGTCACAGACGAGTGATTAAGATATCTAGTCACAGACGAGTGATTAAGATATCTAGTTACAGACGAGTGATTAAGATATCTAGTTACAGACGAGTGATTAAGATGTCTAGTCACAAACGAGTAGTAATATTGCTGATTAAGATGTCTATTCACAGACGAGTGACTAAGGTGTCTATTCACAGACGAGTGATTAAGATGTCTAGTCACAGACGAGCCCGTATCACCGGGGGATGATAACGTTGATTAAGATGTCTTGTTACAGACGAGCCCGTATCACTGACGGGTCAACAAGGCTTATGAAGATAAAGGAAATGTCAAGGTGTCATTTCCTTTACATGAACAATATGATGTGACAAGAATACACCTTCACACTTTATATAAAATGTCTCAGACATGTTACTCCTGGTACGGTCCGTATCACAGACACATCCTGTAGATTTAATCAATAAATTAATTTATTTCGCTCTAGCATGGCAATAAGGTTTTATAAT